TATAATTTATCTAAAAAAATCCCAACATTTGACTGAAGTTGCTTCCATAGGGCGGGAAATGGATTAAAGAAAATTGAAAGATGCCTTAAAATCCGAGGAAGATGCATCGATGCCCACGTAACGTATGAGTGGTCCACGTCATCCAGGGCTCGAATCACGGGATTTCTGTGAGTCCGCAGAAATTAGCTGCAATAAATGCAGGTACCTGACCTTTCATTTCTATTATTCCATTGTTTTCATTTAATTATATTTCATTTTAAAAATAATGACACGTAAATGTCAAAATTTTGACTATGTCATACTTCTTTTCATCTCATCACTAACATCCTATTTAAACATAATTTTGTTGTAAACAATAATCATACAATTAAAGCACCAATATATCTAATAAAAAAATACTTACTTTTGCGATCAAATATAAAAACATTTTATCAATTAAGTCCAGCATAATTAATAAGTTTCTTTAAGGATGTTAATATGAATTGATTATTTAAGTGGAGAAAGTTCAATTAAAAAAGGTAATTATTTTTAATGTGAAATTAATTTCATGATTCATAATAGATAAATAAAACAACTTTTTATTAAGTTATATTCGGTCTGCAAAGTCTATACGCATCTCTACAACCGAATTTTTATAAAGTTGTTTAAAAATAAAATTAAATAATTTACTATAAGTTTTAGTGGTTTAAAATTTGGTATAATATTTTTTTTATTTTTAAACCATTTTATATAAATTTATAATAAAATATTTATTTTAAAACAAATTTTTATAATAACTCTATTTGAATATTTTTCTTTAATAAAACTATATTATTTTTCTTTTATTTTGTTAAATTAAAATATACAAACTAAAATACACTAATATTAAAAATATTTAAATAAAAAACATTTCAATAATTCATTTCTTTGTCTTCGTATTCAATAATCAATACTAATTAATAATAATTCGAACTTTTATTAAGGAATATACATAAAAAAATTGTACATCTTTAATAGTAATTTTTTCTTTATTTGGTATAGCTTGACTTTCTTGATGCTCATGTTGTCAACTTCTTCTCCTATAACTTGTTGTAATACAATTAAAAAACAAACTTGTTAATTAATTAGATGAGTAGTAATTAATCTATTATAAAATTCAATAAAATAATAATAATAAAACGTACCAAATTAGTGTAATGCATTAATACAAGACCCATTTACTCTCACAAATAAACTTCATGTGATCAAGATGACAATTTTTTTAATTTATAAGCCAAACAAAAAAAATAAATATAAAGGACAAAATAATATTTTAGGTAAAATCAAACTATCTTAATTAGTGTGTCTATTCTTGTAATCAAGAGTTAAGTTCAACTTTACAAACCCTGACTTTAATAATTTCTAAACTTCCATTAAAAGTGAACAAAATGTTTATAATAATAATAATAATTATTATTATTATTATATTATTATTATTATTACTGTTTAACTATAATTCATTGCAAATGAATTATTTTTAATATGTAAATTGTATTTTAAGTTCATAATGAACCATTTTGTGTATTATATAATAATATTATTATCAATTGTCTATCTATGAACTAACTTCTTGAACAAATATTAAAATTTAATTTAAAGATAGTTTTTCTTTTTAAAAAGAATAAAGGGATATTTGTAACCATGTATTTTTTGAGATTTTTGTAATCTCTTATCAAACTGTTTTAAATTTTGTAGAGATAAAGTATGAAAGTTGTTTTAATTTTGATAATAATTATTTAACAGTAACATATTATTTAAAATATGATTCGCCTTCTTAAAATGAAACATTATACAAGTTAAGAAAGTAAGTGAATTTAGTTTAATTTATTTGAATGCAAGTTAATTTACAAGGTAAACACAATTTAAATTAAAATATTTTTAAAAAAATGTATACATTGCATAACCATTTAATAATTTAATTTATGGAAAAAAGTTATTTTTGAATAAAAAAATTATCTGAACACAATAGACAATTATTTATGATATATCTCATATGTTAATTTAGATCTACTTGTTGAGATGAGAGAGTTGAAGAAGAAAAAAGAAGAAGAGTGAATTAGAGAAGATATGGATAATATATGTTTTTCAGTAACGTGAAAACAGATAACAAGTGAAGGAAACAAAAAATAGTGAGTCTCACACCTTTTATTTTTTATTTTTTTTTTGCCTGTGAGGCTTTTAATAGAAATGAAATCTCAATTCACTCTCTAATATAACATTATCGAATGCAATAATAGTTTTAATATCATTAAAGACTCTGATTTCCATATTAAAAATATAAAAATCTTAATTTAATTATATAATACAAATTTAATTGTATATTTTGTTGACGTAGGATTTTACCAATAACATAAAGAAAATATTAAATATAAAATACATAATTGATTATATTTGTTTACTTTTGTAAGAAAATAATATTATGCAATGTATATTATGTTTTAAAAAACCGTGTTTTTTTTTGTCTTTCATTGGTTTCAAATGATATAGAAGGATAAGATTGTATGGTTAAGATGGGTTTCACTTCCGTACTGTAAAACAAAAAAACCATTAATGTAATCCTGTGGAAGAAGAACAGAGATATGGAGAATGTTTATTGTTGCAGAGATTGGTGTGTATATTGCCTTGCTCACGAATCACGGAGTGAGCATGCTTGGTAAGCAGCAAAGAAGATGATCTCGTCATCGAACTTTGCCATGTCAGCGAAGTCGTAAATATTTCTGAGTTTTTGACACCACAAACCAAATAATTATGCATAGTTATCAGTCAAATATCACAATCATTATGTCTCGTCTTTTGTTCCTAACAACACTTGCCCAATTAAAGCAACACTCGAATATCACTGCTCATGCCCCACTTTTATTTGAGAAATCACGGTTTTCTTAAATTTCATTTTAACAAAATAAAAATGTTACATTCTTATTGTTGACACAATTGGACAAATTTTATTTTGACTGAAGATTGATATTCATGTAATTATCTTGTTATACTTCTCTTTCTTGTATGCCACTTTCAATACTTAAGTTTACTTCAAATAATTTATCATCCTAAAATTTATATAATTATATTAAATTTTATAATTTTTTAAAATTCTACTCATGCATAATAATATATTGGTTTTGAAAGCAATACACAGTGTAGGTGTCTGAAGAGGAAATTGGGAAGAAGCATGACACAGCTGTGATTTGTTTTGGCCCACTGAATGAATCTTGCCTTGGAAGAGAAGGAAGAGTTTTAGTGTGAATGTATTTGTGTCGGAAGCAAAAATTCGGGTGTGTTTCTTCTTTTGTCACATGTGACAGTGTGAGTGTACTTAGTTTCAAAATATAAAACTATGACGGTGGAGCTATCACAACTGTCATTAATACATTTTCTTCATTTACACGGTCTAGATGTGCAATCGATCCACTCCACCCGTTACAGTCTTTTAAATTTAATCTAACTCATATTTTAAATACCTTTTCATTTTTTTATTCAATCTAACCATGTATTCAGTTTACCCCCTAATGGATCATATTCATCCACTTTAAATGATAATAATTTAAAGTAATTAATAAAATATTCACAATATATAACAAATTTTTTCATTGGTCAAATTCGTTCTCTTCAAAGTATTTATTTACAAAGAAGAGTTTCTTGATGAAGTAAGTTATCAATTTTAAAGTAATTTATAACGTTAGATTAAATTTTTCCCTTTATAACTTTCTGACCACATCAAGAAGAATATATAAGGTCATATTATTTGTTAAGGGAAAAAGCTCTTTACTTTTTTAATATTTTATTGGGATTTATTTATGTTATATACTTTATTTTTATAATTATAGTTTATTTATTATTTGAAAACAAATTATTAAAAATAAAATTTTAGAACAATAAGTATAATGACAAATTACATTTCTTAATTTGAATTGGTTTGAAGTTTATTGGACTTTTTTTTATATTTATTTTTTACATTCGAACAGTTAAGAATTTGTTACTGAGGGATGTTGTGGCGCAGGAAGATCACGAATTAAAAATTTTCAATATAAGAACAATACTACATATAACCTCGTTGGAACATCTATAATGACAAAAATTAAAAACTTTTAAATTTAAAAAACAAATTAACCTCGACATATACACATTTTCCCAAAAAAAAAGAAGAATGTTCATTTAATTTGAAAAAAAAAAAACAGTGGATGAACATACACAAATGACCCCACTGTCATCCAAATTTACATAATAAAACCTTAATCTCAAGGTCAGCATCAACGGGAGATCCAGTCACGAAAAATAAAAGAATTTAAAAAAGGGTGAATTTAAAATTTGAAGTGAACGTAGGGAAAGTCCAAATTTTACCAAAAGAAGGTAGGGACAAAAAAAAAGGATTGGAGTGGAATTGGGTGAGAATAGGTAGTCCACCAGTCCAAAAATTTGAAATTTGATTTGAAAAGATAACAAGAAACCTTGTGAATGAAGTGGAAAGATGTGTAGATGTAAATGTGTTGTGGCGCTTAATTAGTTTGAAAGATTATTTGAAGTTTAGGAGGAAGAGATTGGACAAATGGCAGGTGAGTTGCATGCAAGGACAAATGTCCCCAGCCACTGGGCCAGTGTTCCAGTTGTTTACACTACAAATTCTTTCTCTCTCTCATTTTCATCAATACATATATACATACCAATATTTTTCATTTTCAAGTGTCTCAAAGGGACCCTGAAACCTTAATAAAAGCAACTTGTCTTCTTACATTCTATTATCCTCCACCTCAACACAACCTTCTCCTTTAACTTTCTCTCTCTCTCTCTTTTTTTTTTTTCTTCTCTCTGTGGGTCCCACTCATGCACACACAGCTGGGTCATTATTAAATCTTCCTCAACCAGCAACTCCAACTTCCTCGTCCCCCTTCATTACCCTCGTAACTCGTAACGGCTTCGTATCTCTTTTTCACTTTTCTCTCAAACCCGTTTTCTATCTTCAAACCTGTCCCTCACTCCCTCACCCACCCATGGACGACGCCGAGTTCGACGCAGCGTTTGCCTTTCCGTCTGAGTTTCCCTACGAGTTTGACTCGCTTGGGGCCGAACCCCTCGAGTCCGGTTCCACCGGGACTGAGAGCAGCGACGAGGAGGACTTCTTCGCCGGGTTGACTCGCCGACTCAGTCATGCCTCGCTCAATGAAACCAAGAAGGAACAAGTCCTCACTGTTCCAATCTGCAACCGTGACAAAACTGAGGTAATGATAACCAAAACGCGCCGTTTTGTTTTGTTCGATTTCTTTACCTTTCTCGGTAACTGACTTTGTTGTCTGCATTTTTGTAGAGTCAGAAGATGACTCGGGTTTTGCCGGGGTCGCCTCAGTCTATACTGAGCGGAATCGGAAGCTGGTCGGGTCGGAGCGGCGGGTCTGGCGATGGAAGCCCGAACGGGTCTTCTCGAGTTCCGTCGCCTACGACTACGCCGTTTAAGGGTACAAACGATGCGTGGGATGTGCTGTACGCAGCCGCAGGGCAAGTTGCGAGATTGAAGATGAACGACGAAGTCTCTTCGAAGTTTGAGTTTCAGAACAGGGGAGTGCTTGGTGGTCTTTCTCAACCGGTAGTGATGGAGAATGCGTTTTTCGTGAACCAGGGTGTCCCTCAGGTGAGTTATTTGAAATCGTGTCCGTGGTTTTTGTGAGAATGGGTTACTGAACTTGCATGTTAGAATTGGGTGGTTACGTTTTTTCCCCCTTGTGTAGGTTCGCTACCAGCACGTGAGACCGGAGCAAACGCCGAAGCAGCAGTGTGGTTCGGTTTGGGGGAGGCAAGAGAAGGTTGGCTGGGTGGCTCAGCAGCACCAGCCACAAGTTCAGAATAGAGTGCGCGATTTGCGTGAGTTTGGGTATGACTATGAAGCTGTGAAGTGCGCACGCGCTTTGCCTCATTCTGCATGGCACCCTCCTCTTCAAGTGAAGCACCATAATCAACAGGTCCAAGTTTTCGGATCCGGGTCACGACCCGTTTCGCAAGCTGGATCTGGTGGTGTTAGCAAAAGGGGTTGCGCTGGAACAGGGTTTTTTTTGCCTCGTCAATATGGTCCCCCTCCCCCGGAATCTCGCAAGAAGACAGGTAAATTTCTGAATCTGGTTTTTCTCCTTGTTTTGAGCCTTCGATTTTGCTTATTTAGTCTTTACCTGATTGTTTTACGTTTTGTAACAGGTTGTGCTGCACCAGTTCTGGTCCCAGCTAAGGTCATTTATGCTCTGAATCTCAATATTGATGACCTTAATGGCGCAAGCCAACAACGCTTCTCCAGTGCTTTCGGGGTAGACTACGGTAAGTGAGTCTTAAACATGAGAAAAACATTTCGTTGAATAGTGAAGTTCCTCATCAGAATTTATGGCTTACTTGTTGGTGTTTTTGGTTTATATTTTCTTGTAGATGCATTGTTGGCAAGGAGAAATGCTCTTCTCTTGCAGCAGAAGTTAAGCATGCGGCGAGAAGAGGCAGCAAACCATGAACTTCGCTTGCCTCAGGAATGGACGTACTGATCCCTTTGATGAATAGTTGAAACAAGATTAAATTTCCACAAGTTAAATTCGCTGGAGAAGCGAGCTAGTATAATTAGTAGGGAAGCTGGTTTTTAGTATTTAATTTTATAATATAAAGATGAGATTCAAGAATGTGTTTGGGTAGTTTAGTGGCAATAAACATCCGGTTTTTGTGAGAGATGCAGCTTTTGGGATCTGTTAGTTGAAGAAACAGTGAAAGATAGTAGTTTTAGGGGAAGGTTTTTATCTCTGATTAAGAATATATTTATTATTTGTAATAAGTGGGGTTGGTTTTCTTCCATGTTAAATTAATGTTGGTGGAAGAAGGGTAAAGGGCTTGTTGTGTTGGAAGAGGGTTCAAGTCTAGCTGGCAGAAAAAAAGTGTTGGAAGATTGCCCATAACTCTTTGTTAAAGCTCTTACTCGTTATAGGATAGTATGTAATAAGTTATACTATATGTAGTAAAGGCAACTGTTGTGTAATTCCCAAATCTTCCATATCTCTATTCTCCTCCTGTTGAAGAGGACTGCATTTTTAGCTTCTTCGTTTTTATTTCCTTGTGGAATTTCACCGATTAATGTGAGAGTAATACTACTGCATTTTTTGTTGTCGTTAAGTTAAATTGGCAAAAGAAAGTAATTTGAAAATGCAATACTAAAGTTCTGGTTGATGATTATGTGGGGCATATGGACTTGAGCCAGTGTAAAATATTTTCTCTGAAATGTAAATTTGAAAAGTCATTATCAACTAAATGGAGGGAAGGGCAGAAGAAAGTAAGAAAACATGAAGAATAAGCATTGGGACAGGGGTTGCTTGGTGAAGATGGGAGGGTACCTCTGATGGGTCCCTCTCTGAATCCAGTGTTAGGGTCCTCTCGTCTCGGTTTCTACCCTTTTCATCTGCATTCCCGCCCTTTTTTATTTTTATCCAAAAAGCAATCTCAAGAGTTGTCATTTTGAAATTCGTGATTTGATTTCGAACATTTCTCTTCTATTTTGACTCGGTCAAACTTTCCATTATAATATTCCTCTCTTTTTAAAGCTTTGGTAATCATTATTTATTATTTCTTAATTAAATATTTATCTCTGTAATTTGTTTCATGTTAAAAATGTTTTTCTTTTTACTTTTAAATTTCCTGAAGAAAAAAAGATAAAATTTTAATATACTCACTATTTAATATACTTAGGCGTTTAGTGTTTTATATAATGATTTTAATATTTCTTTTTATATTTATTAAGCAAGATCCATTAATTATAATTATAACGGAATCAACATTTCAAATTAATTATAATTAAAATTTATCACAATTTCCTCATCATTACTATATGAGCTTTGCTGTTGCTTAATAATGGAATATGAAATCTGGTTTTGTACAGGAAACGGAATCTTGATTTTTATTACGAAAACGAATATTCATTCATGAAATTTTGTTTTACGACAAGGTAGTTCTAGACCACTAAACTACTTTACATGAGTTCTTCCTTAACGACATTTTTCTAAGAAATGAGAGATTAAGTTATATAAAAAAATGCAGTTTATATAAAATAAAGACTTTTCGGTACTCTACAAATTTTTTTAAATTCGAGGTAATGGATATATAAGATATAATTTATATAATCATTCTCTTAATTTAATAAGATAGTTTTATAAATAAAATTATGATGAATTAAAAAATAATAACTTTAAATACAAAATTGATTTTAATAATATTATATGTGATTTTTATTCCTAAACAAAACATAATCCTATATTTTAATTTTAAATGATTAATTTAAAAATATTAAAAATTATTTAAATATATAAAAAACTCGCCAAGAAATAAAAATTAAAATAAAAATATTTTGATGATTAATAGGATCTATGAAGAAATAATTTATTTAAATGATTGATTTAAGAATATTACAAATCATTTAAATGTATAAAAATAAAAAAAGGAAGATTAAAATAAAATATTTTGATGATTAATAACACCTGTAAACAAATAATTTTTTTAAATAATTGATTTAAGAATATTATAGATGATCTAAATGTATAAAAAAACTCACCAAGAAAATAAAAATAAAAATAAAAAATATTTTGATGATTAATAACATCTATAAACAAACAATTTATTGTGGTGAAAGAAAACGAAAGCACAATCAAGTATCCTTATTCTAAAGAATGAGTACTTTGTTTTATTAAATAAGCGTAGATTGGTGATTATATTCTAAACCTTTAGAATTGACATGATGAAGGTGATTCTTTTTTTCTTAATAAAAGAAACGATCAGTGGATAACAGATAACGACTTATGGACGGCACGTTAGCATTTAGAACAACAGCTTCATAAATAATGCAGTTAACTAGTTGTTGTACTTGCTTGTTTAAGAATCTAAAGAACCCTTCAACAAATAGTGTTTTTTTTTTTTTTCATCATGGTCTCCTCTACATGTCTCATTTTGTGCAGAAATAAAAAGACACGTCTATTTTGTTTGCATTACTTTCTTATTGCAACTGTTCGCATTTAAAACAATTATTATAAAACTGTAAAATTTCTTTAATGGTAATTTATTATTAGATGATAACGCAAAACTATAGTTAAACTCTAAATTATCAAAAAGACTCTTAAAAGTTCAATGCTTAATTGGCCATAAAAAAAGAACTTTTAGGATGATAAAAAAAGTGTTTTAACCTTCATCAATCAAATTATTTAATTAAATAATAATAATAATAATAATATATTACTCTATAATATAATAATCATTTATTATTAATAAAAGTTATAGGGTTATTGCTCCCATCATTGTAATAATATAAATCATATAAAGGCTCAAGTCATTAGCTTATTTATTAAAGGCATATTCTATAATCTTGACCTAGATAAATTCTATTGTCTTATTGAAAAATGCATTATTACAAAGTATTTCTTTAAACTTGTTTTAATGTTTGGCAGTGTTTTGTTAAAAAGAAAAACAAAACTCAAAATAGACACATCGCACTTATATAAGTTAACTTTAGAACTACATAAGTTTTAAAAATTAGGTTAATCTTACTTAAGATAAATTGATGCGATGTCATTTAATTTCGCCGCTAATTATGATTAAGAGGGAAATGATTTTAAGAAGATGTCGTTTCTTTTAATTATTTTAATGTCAATAAAGAATATTGAGGGCAAAAATAAATTATATGTTCTATCTTAGGAATATAAAAGTGTTTAATAACTCTAATATATAAAAAACTTTAGAAAACAAAATTAAAAGCATTATTGGATGCTGTAAAAGTATTTATGGTATTTTGATATGATATTAAGAATATAAATTAAAAGTATTTATTGAATATTTTTTGGATATTTGTTTATATTAATGGTAACGTAGTGGTTGACTGGTGGTGTGGTAGTGGATTACAGCTATAAAGTTGGTGACACAGAATACTAACATGGCAGATGAGTTTGTTGTTTGATTAGGGATCATCCTCAGACTCAGACTCAGACTCAACCCAACCTGTGTGTGTGCATGTGGGGAAGACTAGGGTGCACCTTCACTTATTTGGCTTTTGCAACTTATGGAAGCAAACACATAAAATAAAACAAGCGTGTATGGTTTTATGTAGTCTATGTCACGTGTGGCTAGCTAGGTAGATGAAACAATAAAATCAACACCCAAATTCATTCTTTTACTAACTTGGCCACTAAGTATATTGTACGTGACATATTTCACCTTTGACCTCGCGGGTGTGTGGATTTTTACTTTGAATTAATAAGAGCATAGTAGGGCATTTTGGTGCATGCTGGGTGGCTGAAATTGAAGGGAGAATAAGCGTAGGTGTCTTTTCAGGGATCCAAAAGAGAAGTGAGTGAGTTGGTGACAGTTCATAGCAGGGTTTTTGTTGTACTCCGTTTTGCTTAATTGACGCTCCAAGTCCTTGTCTTTTAGTAGATGATGAAAGGTTTATTGGAGTAAGCTAGGTAGGATTGTGCAGTGGTTACTAGAAATGGTTATAGTAAAAGGCGCAAATTGAGGTCGGTGGCGGTTGTTGCATGCCATTAATTCGTTTCTTTTGTTTGGTTACTTACTCACTACTTAATCAAACCCAATAGGGGTGTTAGATTTGTCCCTATGGAGCAACAAAACAAACAACCCGACTCCTGTCTCCATTGAAATTCAATTATTGTCATTTAAGCCTATTAATTGTTAAACAATTATCTACTATGCTGTATACTATGAATTAATTAACTGAATCATGTGTGTTGTGTTGGTTATATTTTTCAACCAATTAATTAATTGTCCTTTTTGGGTGTCCCATATGAGTTGAAGAGGGGTGCTTTGATTTGATTTGGTTTTGTTGGTGGTGGAATAGGCCCTTCTCTTTAAAGAATGAAAGATATACGTTGATCGAAGGTTTTGTGCGTATTCATTCACTATTATGGACTTGTCTTTGCCACCAAGATACCAAGCAAAGCCTGCAAAAATAATTTAAAGTAGCGTGCAGGGGGAGATGGGTTGTCAACACGTGGAGTGGCTGTGATGCAAAATAATTCTCTTACTTTTCTTTTTCTTTTCTTTTTTTGACCGATGCCTTCTCCCCTCTTCTCTCCCTTGCTTCATTTCTGGCCCATATCTAGCCGTCAATCACGTTTCTTATGGGTCCCCACTCCATCTATTTTTTAACACTTTTCCTCACACTATCCACCACCATTATAACCCACACTTGCTTTTTTGGTGTTAACTTACACCTTAGTTTCCACCACTTATTCAATAGCATAAATCAAAATCTTACTCATACTTAATAATTGAACTCACTGAATGCATGGGCTAAGGTAAAGCAACGTACACTGGAGAATCAATTATAGGTTTTTGTACACCATCGGAACCAAATGAAAGCAGTGGATGTTGAGAGTTTGAGTAACAATACGAAGTGAGTGTACGGAGTTTGATGAAGCTAGGTACAGTGTTGGCGTCAATCTTATCCCATTCTTCAAGGTCCACACCCACGCACATTCTTCATTCATTCATTCATTCATTCATTCATTCATTTTGTTAATACAATAATATCGTTTTTCATGAATAATGCACACACACATCATCCTTATCACTCAATCATTTCCAGCTACCAATCTGCTTGAAAGAGAGAATAACTAATCACAGTTCTGGCTTTCGTCGATTGTCACCAAAGATCCACCTTTTTCCTTACTTACTTAAGTAAACCATTTGGTCGCTAAACCTTTTCTCAATGTTTAGATATGTAGATTATGGAGGCAACCAGGGATAGTTGGTGAATCAATCCACTCCACTCAACATGGACGGATAATTTTCTTATAATTTCATTAATATCTATGCGTTTTACTCTTTTTTTTTTTAAATAACGGTTTTAATATTTAAATTCTGACATCAATCTAGTTTTAAATAACGGATAATGTCTTTTAAATATTGATTGGTAATTTAGCCTTTTATATTATCAAAATATTTGGCTAAATCGTTAAAAAGTCAATAATATATGCTTTGTCTTTTTTTTTTAACAAGGAGTTTATTTTTTAAATAAAATTCAAATTATTTAAATATTAAAATACTGTTAAAAGAAACATTTGAATAATTTCAAAGTTAGAAACGTTTATATATCAATTAATTGGATAAATAGCGAATGAAGATGGAAAATAAGTGATTTAACTTATTTGAACTTATAGTAACAACATTTTATTTTCTTTAACAAATACGTGTAAGACAACGTTGAACAAAATCCTCTCTGTGTTCTTAAAAGACGTTAAGCCTAGCCCATCTATATTAAAGAGATTTTGGGCCACAGTTGCTGACCAGCCCAATCCAGGTAGCACCTGAGAAATTGAATTAAGCAAAAAAACATGTCTGCTTTTTTCTAAACAAAACATACATTTTTTTTTACGTTTTGACTTGAACTTCCTTAATTAACGATAAACTAACCACTATCACTGATGTTTTAGTTAGTAATATTTAATTCCTCCACTTTTTTTTTATCTTTTTGGTAAATTTGATTGTCTATCTTTGATTTATATATCAACTTAATATCCAATAGTAAATGTTTAGGTAACATTCCACAGAACTAAAGTACTTTAATTAAAAATTAGATTTTAAAAGATGAACCGAAATTCTAAAGTAGTGACCAGTGAAGGATCAAATTCACTTTAAGGGAGAAAATTCGCGAAACTGAAAAGATACAGAGACACCCTTTTCTGCCAACCAGATAACAAGTCAACGATTGATTTAGTTGCATTTGAAATGAAATTAATTTTCTCTCACTCGAAAGAAGGCTATAGAAAACAGTCTATTTATAATTATGCTTTTAATAACTATATATTTTTTATTTATATTAGTTTCTTATATAAATCCATTGCTAAATATAAAATAAAATCAACAAGTATCAAATACTATCACATGATTCTGTAAAATTATTATTATTTTTTAAATAAATCAGTGAAACTATTATCCATAAATCACATTATTCTACAATAAAAAAACAATAATATTAATAAATGTTTATGTTCGAGTCTCAACTTCAATAAGATAATAACATTAAGTTAATCATCACAATTAAAATACTATATGCTTTCAAGTTTAAGTTTAATTTTGCTCTTACAATAATATTCCGTGGATATGGTTATAACTTTTTTTTCTAAGTAATGTGAAAATATTTAATCATATTGTTGAAATGAATATCTACTCTGGAAATAATTTTTTTTTCACATGATGAGCCTTCATACTTTGATTCAAGTTCATTAAAACATTTATTGTTTTTATTTAATTAAAAATTTATAAAATCAGGAGAGATTTTTGTTAAATAAGAAACTAGGTTTACTAACTTTCGTAACGTTCGCTTGATAAAAAAAGTTGTAATAAAAGACAGCGTTTTAATAACATAATAATTGATAATTAAATAGTGATAAAAAATGCACAATAGTCTAGTGTATGTCTGTCCATATTTATTTATAAAATAGTTATATTTTAAATAAAATATCATAATATAATAGTATTATTTTAAGTATTTTTTTTTTAAAGTATATCATGTAGGATAATATAACTTTTCTAAATAATTAATTTAAAAATTACTTAATTTTTGTTATTATTTTTTTCTTAATCTAATCAAAATTATTATTATAATTTTGGGAATAAAATAGAAAAAAAAAACTGTACACTAGAAGAGGATGTGTTTCTGGTGTATTATTATATGAATATATTTAATTGTGGGATAGATGTTTAAAAAAAAAAACGTATGTTTTCTCTCCACAAAATTAAATTTGAGTGATAAGTTGACACGGTAAAAGCAAACATCTCTTATATTACTCAAGTTTTAATAACGATAAAAGGATTTAATAAAAAAATTTAAAATTATTATTATAATATTATAATGAATTATATGTTGGATGTTTGTAACAATGGTTGTGTCAACATAATATTTTCCATTAAATTTGAATGGAAACAGGAAGAAGGTTATAGAAAAGCACGTGTCTCTTCCATCTCCATCTGAATAGAACGTTCTGGAAAATCCTCGCACTTCTCTTGATCCTATATATATAGCTTTCGCTGTTCCCTCTCAGCATCAGAAATAGTTGATTGAGGAAAATATCATCTTGTGAAACCTCTCAGTAACGATGTCTCTCATCCCTAGCTTCTTTGGTGGTGAACGAAGCAATGTCTTCGACCCTTTCTCTCTCGACATGTGGGACCCTTTTGAGGGGTTTCCCTTCTCAACCTCTCTCGCCAACGTCACTTCCTCCAGTGGTGAAGACAGTGCCATAGCCAACACTCGAGTGGACTGGAAGGAGACGCCGCAGTCCCACGTGTTTAACGTGGACCTTCCCGGGTTGAAGAAGGAGGAAGTGAGGGTGGAAGTGGAAGATGGGAAGGTGCTGCAGATTAGTGGAGAGAGAAGCAGGGAGAAGGAAGAGAAAAATGATAGGTGGCACCGCGTTGAACGAAGCACCGGGAAATTTTTGAGGAGGTTCAGGCTTCCAGAGAATGCTAAACTAGATGAGGTAAAGGCTGGCATGGAAAATGGGGTGCTCACTGTAACTGTGCCTAAAGTGGAAGAAAAGAAGCCTGAGGTCAAGTCAATTAAAATATCTGGTTAGGCCTTTTGGTGCTCGTCTCACACATTCCTTTCCACATTCCATACAAGGGTTCCGTGTTGTTTTTTGTCTTTCTATGTTATGTATATCTGTGTCATGTTGTGTAATGTGGTTATGTGAGGTTCGAGTGCACTGATGGTTTTAATTCGTGTGGAATGAGAATATGCGAGTGTGAGCATGAGCATGAAAATTGCAAGCTGTTAATGTTATATTCTACACAACATTCCTTGCATATTCTCAGAAATAGGGGATGGCTCTTCGTCAAGAAGGAAATCATGTGTTTGATTGTAGAAATTGGTATTAGGATTTTGATAAAAGTGACATACATAGTTGAACCATAATTTGAAAAACATAACTTGTTGAGTAGATACTTTTAAGGAATTGTCATATTTTTATTCTGCCTTTTCCTATTTTACTGGTTTTGTTTCTTCGAAGAAAACGGAAAGGATGAATGAAAGAAGCACATGTTTTTGGAAAATTCTGATGAGTAAAGCAAGGAAGCCAGTCTTGTAGAAGGAACCACATCTCTTGCTTCAAGTGATGTAATACTGTTTGTGCCCTGAATTATATATCCAGTGACATGATTGTTCTTGAGTTACTTACATTATCAACATTCTAGTTTCCTTCTAATACATACACCATGGCGCTTACCGCATTAGATGGACAACTGCAAAATGAGTATTAGTACTAACGAAAGAACGTTGGAAAGAATCTGCGTCTTTCCCACAACTTGGGTGTGTAAATTCAATGGTCACCATCTTGCTATTTGTTTTATGTACAACTATATGTTGTTCGACTATTCGACAAAAAAGTCATCGTTGTTTTTGTTCATTCAATAATCCAGACACATTGTCTTATAACACAAGTATGTGGTCCAATTTTGATATTTTCATGAGTAATAGCAGTTTCTGCGTCCTTTCAATTATTTTGGTTCCACTATCGTTTTAGATTTGAAATGTTTCGGAATTTTCTTAATATTATCACAGTCCAAATCAAACTCCTTTATCAAGATGAGTTGGTATGATATGGATGAATGTATTCTATATTATTTGAATATGCAAAATGTTGTCAAACAAATACATTATTTTATTAAAAATTTATACTTGTTAAGAATCTTACAAATATCATTAAAAAAACGGATAACATATTTTACTACAAATTTTTTCATCTATTACATTGTAACACAGTTACGAAGAAATTATAAATTATTATATCATCAAACTATCCATAATAATAAAATTTTTAAAAAAATCACAACATTAACTTATCTATCAAGTTTACAAGATAATGATGTATGATGAGTTTACAAGATAATGATGTATGATGATTGTTCATATATACTTTATGATTAAGGCAAGAGCAATAAGATAAGAGAAATGTAGATAGGCAAGTGAGTTGGTGGTTGAAATTAACTTTGAAAAAGAGTTTATTTAACTTGAATTAATATATTAACTTAATCAGATTAAAACTACTTGAATTAATCTGATTGGATAAATATATTAAGTCAATTGATTAAGAAAACTAATCAATAATAATTATGACGTGATTCACACATACAGATACCACAACCAAAAATTGTTTAATAAAATCTCCTGTTCTCTTGTACCTTCTTTGCTAATTTCGTTTGACGTTCCTATAAATGAATTATTACAAACCATTACAATTCAATGAAATATTTAAAATATTTATTGAAATATGTGTATTTAATGGTATAAAAAACATTATAACATTCTTGCTCAAAAAGAGAACATCAATTGACATGGACCTACATCTACAGTTAACAAACATTTATTTACAATCCAAGTTCCTTCAGTTGTCTACAATTATTCATACATCAGTCTGAGCAGCACCAGTGCCTTTATCCCGTTTCTGATCTGAGGCAGTTCCTATAGTGCAGTACCGAGAATAATGAAAGAAAACAAGCATAAATTATGTATAAGTAAACTTATTCTTAATTTCGGTTACATTAATAAGTTGAAATTATTCATAAATTCATATACCACGCATCTAACAAAATCTAAATTAAAATAAAATATCAAAGATTATAATATAATAATGAAACAATATTTTACTGCATGTTTTCAAAACCTTATCATCACGAAATATAAAAAAAATATAGTAATAAAATTATAATAATTAAGAAAATTTATATATCGATGAAGAAATGAATATTAAATATAATATTCAGAAATGTTATTTGTGTTAAAATGAAATTTCATAATAATATTATTTTGAATTTCTTGAGTACTTTAGTATACCGAAAAAATCATAAAATTTCCCCTTTCACTGAATAATGAAAGCAAGTCACTGAGGCTAGTAATGAACGCATGCAGGCAGTGTTACAACATTTCAATGGTCTCTTACATAGCTTTCGAACTCAACTCAAGTACATGCATTTATTCGTTTATATCATTTCCAGACACAACACCAGTGATGAAGAAACAAAAAAAAAAACACAAACAGAAAAGTACACACACAACGTAAACATTTGATTCGGAGCACATAGATAAGGTCACTCATGAAAGTGCAAATATTTGGGAGCTTAGCCAGTGATCTGAACGGGTTTCAGATCGGGCTTCTTGACTTCCTCCTTGGGAACAGTGACAGTGAGCACTCCGTTCTCCATAGCAGCCTTCACCTCATTAACTTTGGCGTTCTCCGGCAGCCGGAAGCGGCGGAGGAAGCTGCCGCTGCTGCGTTCCACGCGGTGCCACTTCTCGTTCTTGTCCTCCTTCTCCTTCGTCCTCTGTCCGCTAATCTGAAGCACCCTTCCCTCCTCGATCTCCACCTTCACCTCTTCCTTCTTCAGTCCCGGAAGGTCCGCTTTGAACACGTGCGCCTCCGGCGTCTCCTTCCAGTCGATGCGCGTGTTGGCGATCGCAGCCGTCTCGTTCGCAACCTCGGAGCGTGGAAAGGAGAGGGCGGTTTCGAATGGGTCCCACACGTCAAGGGAGAAGGGGTCGAAGACGTTGGTCCTTCTCCCTGTCCCGAAGAAGCTTGGAATGAGAGACATTCCTAAGGGTTTTGTGAGAACTGCTGATTGCAAGGTACTAAGCGAAGCTGTTTTGAAGAGTTTGCTGAATGATGAGAAGGAGGCGAAGAATGTGTATATTTATATGGAGTGAAGAGGATGTTCACGATGCTTCACGATGGATCAAGTGTTTGCAGAAAAGAGAAGAAGTGTTCAGAGAGTTCTGAAGAATATGTGTTGTTCTGACGAGTGATAGGATGCCAGGGTGGAAGCCAAGAACAATGAAGATGTTTCGGGAACAAACAAATAATATTTTAATGTATGATTCTCCAACTGCTTATCACCAATCACAGTATTTTTCCGTGTTTATGTATAAATCTATTTAAAAAAATATCTAACGTGTTAATTTTTTAAGCATCTTAAAATAATTGATATTTTTATTTTAAAACATTAACTACTTAAGTGAAAATAGAAAGATGATTTATTTCAATTTTTTTAGAAAATTTTGGTGTTAATAATTAAATTATCCAATTTCTTTTTAAAAAGGATAAATAATTTAAAAAAAAGGTTGTAAACAAGGTCGAAAGAGCCTATAAAATTTACAAAAACTAATGATTAAATTGTAATCTTAGTCTTTTAATTTTTTTATCCTTGATTTTATATTTTTATTTTTCTTCTACAACTTCAGCCTCAAATTTTAAAAATACGTTCTTTAAAAACAAAATTCATATATATTTAATTTAATCAATTATGTTTACAATTTCAAACAATAACAAAATTATGTAAACATAAAATATAATCAATATTTTATTATTTTTTTAATAAATTAAAAAACTAAAATCAGATATTAGAAAATATCAAAGTACCCAAAATTATAATCAGTGTCTGTTCATTATTACATAAAATCATACTTTTTAATTTCAAACCGGTTCCATCAGAATAATTGAAAAACAGAATTAGAACATTTCCACCTCTGTTTATTAAACTATTAAATAAAATATTAGTTGTTTGATATAAATTTTTAATTAAAAAAATGTAAATAATATATTAATTTGTTTTAAAATATTATTAATAAATTTATCAAACAAATTAAAAAATGAATAAAAAGTATATGGAAAAAAGATTTTTTAAACTTTTAAAATTATTACATAATTTAAGATGATTGAAAAATAAGTTATATAAGATATGGGCATATAGGTTGGTTGTGTGCAATGACGTGTAAGATATTTACATTTGAGTGACACGTAATAAGTAAGAACAAAAGAAACACAATAGAAGAGATGGAAGGGAAGAAAAAATGTATTAAATATATATAGGAAAGTGAACATATTACCTAAGATATTTTTTTAATTTAGGATTTATTTATGGCTTAAACATAAGTTACTACTAGAAAAATATATGATAATTTTTTATGACGATTATAATTTATCTGTCATAATATAATATGATAATATTTTTATAATAATATTATAAATTTTTTATGATGATTGTTTGTACATGACATATAGGTAAATTTATTTTTATGTTATCCACATAAAAAATAAATTTTCTACGGCAGTTTAAATTTAATCAAAATACAAAATAACTTTTTTATGTTGATTTTAGTTTAATTGATATAAAACATATATATTAAATTAAAAAAGTAAAAATATAAATATATCAAAATATATAAATATATTTATATTTATATATTTATACGAATATACATTTATTTATATAAATATAATTTATTTGTAAATTATTAATAAAAAATCATAATAATTTAATGATTAGAATATTATTATCTAATTTTAAGGTATTAATTCAAATTTTGTGGATCACAATTCTCTAATAATATTGTAATATTAACATAAAAATAATCTTTTTATACGGTGACTTCTTATTGAAACTTATATTAAGTAAAAATATTGCATAATAAATTAATGATTAACATTAGGTTAGTTAAGGTGTAATTGGATTTAAATTTTTTAAAGTACAGTTTTTGACAAAAAAAATAGTCAACATTTTAAATGGATTTATACTTCCGATCAATAAATGCATTTCATTTACAGATTATAAAAATGAATCCTGTTTTCTAAACAATGAATAAAAAAATGGAAAACAAATTCTCATTATTCATTATCAAAAGCTATATACTATGAGATTATAAATCATGACGATTCAGATAAAAAGCCTACTATGAAAATCTTTTCATGCATGCAAAAGAACTTTGGAACGTGTCTGGACTTTGGCATAGCACTCAATACAATCAAACATTTGGTATTGCAACACCTCACATTCCCCTTTGCTACTGAACGCCACATCACACACAGATGTTCAAACCAGAGGTACCTCCTCTGTTTGTTTTTTAGTTCAACTTCAATAAATAAAAATACTTACTTTATGGTCTATTAAAAACAATTGTTTTAAATGCTTCCTATATAAAGGTTCCTCAGTTTCTTCTCCGTAGCACAAAGCAAGTGCGACGTTGAAGATCCAAGAAGAACCATGTCTATCATCCCAAACATCTTTGGTGGTCGACGAAGCAACGTGTACGATCCTTTGTCTCTGGATATATTTGACCCTTTTGGGGGGTCTCCCTTTTCCACACCTCACGTGCCTTCATTTGGTGGCGAAGGCAATGCCATAGCCAACACTCGCGTGGACTGGAAGGAGACAGCAGAGGCGCACGTGTTCAGCGTGGAACTTCCAGGGTTGAAAAAGGAGGAGGTGAAGGTGGAAGTGGAAGAAGGGAGGGTGCTGCAGATTAGTGGAGAAAGAAGCAGAGAGAAGGAAGAAAAAGATGATAAGTGGCACCGCATTGAGAGAAGCTCTGGCAAGTTCTTGAGGAGGTTCAGGCTTCCCGAGAATGCGAAAATGGATGAGATCAAGGCTGGTATGGAAAATGGGGTGCTGGTTGTTACTGTGCCTAAGGAGGAAGAGAAGAAGCCTCAGCTCAAGTCAATTCAAATCTCTGGCTAGATTTCTCTTTCTTCGACTTTCTCACGTTCCAAACAAATGTGTTGTGCTGTTTTTGCTGTGTTGTGTCCATGCGTTTCTATTGTCTTGTGTCCCTGTATTCCTTTGAGTCGTCATGTATTGCAGTAATTTGAGGTTCTAATGTAATGTTGTGGTTGTAAAGTTTTTGGGTACATGTTTCATTAGACTCTCACTTGTTTCTGTTTTGTTTTTTCGATGTTCTGGGTAATAATCAGATTTAAAATTAAAATCCACTAGTCATTGACAATTTATTCCAGTCATTATTCAATTTTTCGAAAACTAGATTTCTTTTCTATCAAATCAAATCCACTAAAGAACAATGTTATTTGATTCTACACTCAAACAGATATTGTATAATTGTTTGTAGTTTTGACAAACTTAATAGTTTCAATGATTGACATTCATTTATTAGATAAGGTCATTTTTAACGCTTTTAATTCAGAGGAAAAAATTCATTTGAATCAACAGTTGAACACGTATAATGATATTATTAGCGGAACATTTTATGTTAATTATTAATTAATTAGTGTTTATTAATAATTAAATATTTGTTTGTCGTTATCTAACAATTTGAAATATGATAATTATTATAAGTTAAACTAATTATTAAAATAATTTTATTGTTATCTGACAAATTGAAATATTATCACTATATTATCATGTATTTACACACTATAGAATAAATCATGAAATTAAACTTAAAGGTTTAATTGTTTATAATTTTGGAGATTTTTCATTGTGTTATAGAATTTAATATGCAATTTATGAAAGAAATTATCTTTGAACTTAAAATATTATATATAAAATTAATTTTGGAGGGTTTTTTTTTTCTAAAATTTAATATTCTATTATTATGAAAGATATTCTCTTCGAATTTTAGATTATATTAATATTTTAAATATGTGAAATGTCTCGAGAGATATACTACTACAAATAAAGCTTTCAACGTCGGTTCTGAAAGGCTTTCAACGTCGGTTTAATAACTGACGTTGTATCAGGCGACGTTGAAAGTCGTAACTTTCAACGTTGAAAAATACACTTTAGATAGCGGTTCTAAGGGAACCGCTATCTAAAGTGTATTTTAGATAGCGGTTCTAAGGGAACCGCTATCTAATGTCGACTTTAGATAGCGGTTCTAAGGGAACCGCTATCTAATGTCGACTTTCAACGTCGATTTTTAAGAACAAATTAATAATTTTTATTTATTTACAACCCCTTTACCCCCCCTCTCTTTTATTTATCTAGAAGTCTCCCCTCTCTTCCTATTATATTTTTATTAGGTTCTCCATCTCTTTATATTATATTTTTTAGAAGTTTTTTAATTTTTAAGAGAATTGTCATTGGCAGGATTCGAACCCAGTACTTTAGAGTTGGAGGCTGATACTCCAACCACTAAACTACTTGAATTTTTTGATAATAACTTACGAATAAATTATATTTATATACAAATAAATATATATCCGTGTAAATATATACAAATAAACCCAGTACTTTCATCTTCTTCGCACTGATAATCCTCCAAAATTTTGTGTTCTTCATGCTGACAGCCCTCCCAAATTCACCTTCCCGCTCACAATTTCACTCCCTCTTTTCGACCTTGTACCAGTGACTATCCACCATTGTTCGAGTTTAATCACCTTCGTCTCTCCAACCCCAATCCTCCACCCTTCTATTCAGCTTCCAAGATCTTTAACCCAGCATGCATGACCTGACCTCAAGCTTGAAATCCAACCCAATGACCTTGAATCTCAAATCTGAGTGACCAAAACACCCAATCAAAACACTTTACAAAAATGTATATCAATTAAAACAGATTTGTTTTAACTGATACGTACGACAACGTTTATATCAATTAAAACACTTTACAAAAAATATTCTAAGTTGATTTAATCGATTGTTTCGCGATTCAATCGATTGAAATACTGCAAAACTTTCTCGTAAAACTTTTCAAGTAATTTTAACTGATAAAAATAAGTTTTAATCGATTAAAACGCTGTGCAGAAATTGTTTTAATCGATTGAAACGAGATTTAATCGATTAAAATAGTTCTGATCGGTCATAACCGCTATCTAAAATGTATCTCGCTTGAGCGACACCATTCTCGCTCGAGCGAAACGCCCCCTGCACAAAATTAGCATTCTCGGGTTGTATTTCGCTTGAGCGACACTAACCTCGCTCGAGCGAAATAAGGTTCTGATCGATCATAACTTGAAATGATCGATCATAAAGTCGACATTAGATAGCGGTTCCCTTAGAACCGCTATCTAAAGTGTATCTCGCTTGAGCGACACCCTTCTCGCTCGAGCGAAAAGCCCCCTGCACAAAATTAGCATTCTCGGGTTGCATTTCGCTTGAGCGACACTGCCCTCGCTCGAGCGAAATAATATTCTGATCGATCATAACTTGAAATGATCGATCATAAAGTCGACATTAGATAGCGGTTCCCATAGAACCGCTATCTAAAGTCGACATTAGATAGCGGTTCCCATAGAACCGCTATCTAAAGTCGACTTTAGATAGCGGTTCCCTTAGAACCGCTATCTAAAGTCGACTTTAGATAGCGGGTCCTTTATAACCGCTATCAATAAGTAAAAATAAAAATAAAAAAAAGACTTTCAACGTCGGTTCATCTAGAACCGACGTGGAAAGTGTTTTCTACGTCGGTTAATTAAGAACCGACGTAGAATGTGTCTAACATTCAGCTTTCAACGTCATTTTTTAACCAACCGACGTTGAAAGTGTATTTAACATCGGCTCAGCTTGAACCGACGTTAAATGGCGACGTTGAAAGCATATTTTGTAGTAGTGATAAATATTAGCCTAAAACCAAAATCACCAACTCTAAATTATTAAGTATGAAAATTACTTGAGAGTTTTTTGTTTCTTGTAGAACAACATATTAAAAAATATATTTTCACTGCATTTCGGAAACAAATTCAAGAGACACTATTAGATATATACAAAATTTACAACGTTTATTTTCTAACATATGTTGCTAAACTATAAAGCCCATGGGCTAACCCCAGTATACATGTTTTGTGATTTTTTTCTTCTGAGGTTTTTCATGCAAAACTCTTTTTTTTTGTCTCCTGAGTTTTTCTTTTTACTTGGTCCAAGGGAAAATAGGGCTAAATGGGTTGGACTAACCCATTTTAGCACCTCCAGTCTTAAATCACTATACCATTTGCAAGTAAGGAAAAAACCCAAGTTCAAATCCAATTTCTTTACTTGCAAGTTCAAAAAGTGTTCTGAAATAAGTATTCTTAAATCCAATTTCATTTATTAAGTAGTATTCTAATAAATGTACAAGTAAATAGATCCTTATTTTAAGAACCAGTATTACTCAAATATTCAATACTATATACTTGATTGTGTCTTTTAGTTTTTTTATAAGATTTTAGTTTCACAGTTATTTGACATGCACTATATATTTCCTACGAGCTTGACCAAAGTGAAATGGATGTGGTCTTACAAAATGGAAGGTGCTGATTTACATGTCTTCATCATCACTTTCACTAGCACTTGAATCATCCACATTAACGGCAGCTACTTTGGAAACACTAATCTTAAAAGAAGCAGATTGGATCTTGTAAGGTAACTTTGTATTGCTTGCAGCAGCCCTACAGTCTTGTACCACTTTTTCTTCCTCTTTCTTCAAATCACCAGGTGGTAGGAAGCAATCCATGGACAACCCTTTGATGTTAAAATCCACTTCTTCAATCTTCCAAACTTCTTTTATTCTAGTTTTGGAGTGGCTCTCAGGGCCTTCACCAAACCTAGACAATGTCACCCATGTTTTTCCTGCATGTGCTATGTTAATGCCATCCACAGTTTTGTAGTCTTGTATTAGGGACTCCATTTTGGTTTCCCAGAATATAGCATCACTTGTTGTGGTTTTGAGTTTGAGCAAGTGAGAGTCTTCTAATTGGATCAAAACACCTGTTCTTTGGCTGAAGTAGCCCCACACCGTGTGGCGAATAATCTCTACGTTGCTGCTACTTCTTGTTCGAAGTGAATTGGAATCGGCTTCAAGTTTCAATATGAAACATTCTTCATTATTCACTGTCTTCTCTCCAATGCATATGGAGTTGTTGAACAAATTGGCTGTGGACCTTGGATCAAGACCCTGTTTAAAAGGCATTAGTTAACAAATATTTATAGTATATATTACCTTATTTATATAAAATTCATAATCAAAGTGTGGAAATAAATATGAAACAATAATGTGTGTGTGTGTTATTTTACACAAGCTAGTATTTAGTTTCTTGAACACAATCCTTAGCCTAAAAAATTGATAGATTATACTTAAGAAGCATGAAATGGTCGTGTGACTATGATGCGTCAATCATGCAAGAAAGGAATTGGGACCATCAAATTAGTGATGGGGAGGATCCAATGAAGGACACCAATGCCCTCGTAAGTGTTTATTGTTAGTCATACTTCATGTCCTAGTAATAGCCAAAAGATGCCTCAATGCGATTAGGTGTTGAAAGACTTGGGAGAACAAAAGAAAAAAAAAAAAAGCTATTTGAAAAAATGGATACACCAGTTGTCACGCACTGAGGAATGGAGATAGATAGTGTTGACTTTCAGCCTTCAGCAAATTGTTAAATACCTGTTTGGAGGAATTTTATACCTTTGGCTTCATACTAAATAATGAAGAAATATCTTCGCATTACATATTAAATTGTTGACTTTTGTTAATAAATGTAGACACCGTGCATTCTGGGAGGGCTAAGTTATTAAATTCTACGAAAATAAATAGGAAAATAATTTAACTTTTTCTTAAAAAAAAAAGGTTCTGGTGTTCCTTTTTGAAAGGGAAAGCACTTGGTTTTTGGGTGAGTGAGATTCGGTTAGGCAGCGTTTGAAAACATATTCAAACTAGCTTTTCTGCTGTAGGGAGCTAAACTTTCTGCTAATTGCTAGAAAAAAAAAATAGTGGAGTGGGAATGCAACCTATTTGGGAACACATTCAATTCAGATTCACACTTGAGCGACTCAGGAAATCATATTAAAGAGGAAACAACAATTAATGCAAGAACACGGTTTGGAATATAACATACAAAATCGTAATCATGATTAATCTTGCTCCATTATGTCAAATATAAACACACACATTCACCTGTTGAATTTAATGACTTAAATAAAAGTGAACAAAGCTGAAAAAGAAAAAGATTAACAGATTGGTTAAAATTTAAAGTGAAATTAATTACCTGAAGTAAACGCCTAAGTGGTCTTGGTGGGCCTCGAGAGGCATGAGAATGGTGCCAAGGTGTTTGCCTCCATGCCACTTTCCCGTCACTCCCGGCACTGATTTTGTACCCAGAAACGACCAGCTCCAAACACCACAGTTCTGGCTTCTTCTGCCACACAACAAACCCTCCCACTTCCCCTTTCATCTGCACCTTCTTCATCTTCACCATCTTCTTCCTACTCACACATTCTTCCCCTCCTGAAAACTCTGATGCCACTAATCTCACCTCCCCCATCGCATACATGCTTTCCACCCGATTCAAAGCACTCTCTCCCCCCACAGCTGCCACGTACTGTTTCACTATGTATTTCGCCATCGAAGCCTCCTTCACAACACCCACAATGAAAGACTAAAAAATGAGATACATATATACTTTACATGTAAAAAATAAAAAAATAAAAAAAAAATAAAAAAGATAAAAACGTAGTATAGTTTTTGGAGTTGTTTTTCAATCAGAATTAGAGTTTCATGTCAGTAATCGGCACAATAATAATAACTAAGGTTTGCATTAAAGATTAACATTGATTACTGAAGTGAAACTCTGATTGAAAAACAGTGTTAAAAACACCTAAGAACTGCATCTAAGTTCTAAAGAAAACATAAAGAGAAGAATGTCTTAGTGAGTACTAACAATGTTATGGGATTTAATGGTGATGGGTTGGTTGTGAGAGGTGATGGGGAGAGGGATCAACGGTGCTCCAACAACACCAAGCAAGAGTTGGATATCAGTATTTTGGTCTCCAAAGAGTGATGATGATCTAGTAGATTCAACGTTTGGCTTCATCCATGACTTCATGTTATGCCAAGCTCTGCTGGTTCCACTTTTGATGGCGAAAATCTCCTCTGGAATGGGAACCTCCAGCACCGTTTCGAGCCCATCCTCGCGAGTAAGATTGGGACAGAGCTTCTTCATAGCAGAGAAAGATATAGGAAGCAGAAATCAAACGGGATAGTTAAGAAAATTCGCTTTGATTTTGGTGGCATGAACAGAAGGGAAAGACTTTGGTGATAAAGGTTATATGTTATGGGTTTAGATAGCTTATGAGATGAGGAAGTGACGAAAGAGAAGAGAAAAGAGAGGGTTGAAGTCTTGAATTGGAAGGGAGAAGGAATAGTTATATGAGTGTTGTTGAGTATTGAGTATGTAACTTTGGAAAAAGATTAACAACCAAACTACATGGTCGTGTTGGCACGCCTCTCATACTAAACCTACGGTTTCCCTTTAAAATTAATGTACATGTTTGAATAATTTTAAGGTTATTTTTTTCCCAAGGGAGCATGCCAAGGTAGGTTGTTGAGATTAAGTAATGTCCTGGTTCTTATCTTTATTTACTCTGCCAGAAAATGAAAGGCCATATCCTGATTAAAGTCCTCCAGTTCATACCTTCTTATAGTCTTCCTTTTACACTGCTTTCATTTGTCTCCGTATAAATTAATTTATTGATGGTACTTCAGAAAATGAAATAAATATAGGTAAAAACGTAGATGGAAATTGAATGATGTAACCGTATGGTGCTCTTTCTCTTTCACATAGTAATATTCGGATTACTAAAATTGACATTGTATCATATGTGAATACTTAGTGTGGCCGCTACACAATTGGGATACTTGATCTTAAGACAAACACAGAGACAACAAGTGAATCTGATGAAGAGGTAAAGAACTTACAGTAAAAGTGAAATGGAGAAAAAGAAACAGAGAAAATGATTAGTTAAGGAGAGTGGATTACCCCACAATTCAAACTTTGTTACCTCCCACAATGGCAAGTATACTTTTTTATAAGCTTTGTCTTTTTTAGCCAATAATTAGTAACTAGTTAAAAGGATAAGATGATGGTTATTGAAGATACGGTAGGTTTTAAGTTGAGATAATGTCGGGAACAGATATGATGTATAGAAAGAACACAAAGATGCATGTACAAGACATGGAAGATGCGAGACCGACCAACATTCTAAAAAATTGGAAGTGTGATTGAGGATGGTAGCCCAATGAACAGGGCCACATGAGCTGTGCTCGACTCCTGTCTCTCATTATTGCTCCACTCCACACAATTCAATTCAATTCTGAATCATTTCATGCACCTTCATCAAAATTCTGCACTACTTCACTATATATATCATCTTGTTACAACTATCCACACGCTTATTATTTATTGTGGAAATTTTTACGTAACAAAAAAGAAAAGTATATGATTAGATTATGGACAAGAATATCATAATAATTTTAACTCTTTATTCTTGTTGTTCAGGTAGGTGGTGGATTTTCCTCTTTCCCTGTTCCTTCAGGAATCTCCCTATCTATATCAATGATTCAACATTTCGTATAGATTTTACAATCTATACGAAATTTTAATTATTTAATATTTCGAATGTCTATTTTATAAGATAATTTAAATTTACTAAATTTTAATATTTTTAGAGAGAGAGTTTCAATTGTCATCTTATTTATCCCTACATAATATTCATGATATTTATCTATAAACATCTTTAAAAAAATTGTTGTTACAATTCTGATAAATTTAATGTCAACCCATAAATATTCCTAATCTATAATATGATATAAATAATTTTATTAATATCAAATACAAAAATAATTTTTATTAAAGTCGACTAAAAAATCTGACTTTTTATTAGTTGAAAAATAATCTTAGTCAATAAAAATACAAATCAGCGAAAAAACAAAATTCTAATTAATGTTGATCAAGTAACTTACAATTCATTAAATTAAAATAATTTCTGTTGAGAAAAAAAAATTAGCCAAAACTTAATTTCACGTTGAAATTTACTTAAAAATACAATTTAATGTTAATTGTTGTTTTTGCATAACATAATTATGTTTGCAATAACTTATATAGAAAACATAAAGTTCATTATACTCGAGTAACATACAAGTTTACAAGACAAAATATTTTTATGGTTTTAAAGCTTAATTTTCAACGATATAAAACTATCATAAAACATAAACACTTCAATCTCTCTCTTTTTCAATTCACTTCAATACTCCATCTCAACCAATGCGTTGGTTTTCTTTTGATTTATTTTGACATGTGATGGAAAAAACAAAATAGGTTTGTTTTATTTATTATGTTGAGATATCATAATAAAACGTGAATCTTAAATATTTATTTTAATATTACATTAATTTAATTCAATAAACTAAGTTAATATTTTAAAATTCAACCTCCACAAACCCATCATTGCCAAACGCATATGAACATTTATTTATTTTGTAAGTAATTACATAATAAATATTGGCTCTCTATTATATTTATTTTCTTTTAATATTTTTAAACATGTCGTGAATTTCATAAAATTTAATTTAATCAATATTTTTAAATTAAATTTTAATTGAATATTAAATATAATATTATTAACTCCAAAAATTACAAAAAAATAAAAAAAATAGATTGAGTTTGATTGAGCAATGCTTAAAAAAGTGAAGACAAAAACCAAGAGTAACATATCAAAGTAAAAAAGGAGTTAAAATTGAATTTTTCGAGAAAAGAGGAAGTTACGCAAAAGGATTTTTAGTAGTGCATGGAAAGATTGATGAAGATGGTTAAGAAATAAGGTACATAGAATGTACACGTTACCATGTGAACATGTGTATTAATAAAGTGAAATAACGATAAGAGAATAACCGTTTCAAAGATTTTAATTTTATTATTTTTATAGTTATATTAGCAAGTTACAACAAATAATACATATAGGATAAAATAAAGGTAATAAAGGGTGATTGTCAAATTCTACAACTTATGTTATAAAAGACGCTATGAACTAGAAACAAATATTTTTAATAAAATTTTGTGTAATTTGGATTGTCACTTTAATTAATTTCCTTTATTAATTCCTGTTTTATCCTTAATAATAGATTAGATTTATTTTTATGTTATTTAATTTTCTGCACATTTATTTTGTAGTAATTTACTTTTATCATTTTTTATTATTTTTGCAAGTTATTTTAAATATTTCGTATTATATTAAATATAAAAATTAAGTGGGAATAATTGAAATCTACTATATATTAAATTTTGAGTGAAATTAAAAAAATCTACGTAATATTTAAGTAATTTAGTGTAAATTATATTAATTATATCCAACAACAAATTATATACCCTAAAAATAAGTACATTAAATATAACATCTAATAATATATTTATAAATTTTTACTGACATTACTTTCATTAATTAAACTATTTTTTAAATATATAAAATATATAACATTTAAAACTCATACAATTATATCTTCTTTTTTACATATACTCACTAGTAATCGAATTTTCTAGGATAATAATAAAAAAAAAATGAATGTAGGTGAAACAAAGAAAAAATATGGGCACGTGGTGAAGTGGTGAGATAATGGAGATTAAGGTGAAAAATAATGAGCGGTAATCACGGCGAGTTAATGGCAGCAACTCGTGCACTCACTCATCTAAATTGTTTTCGAATTTATTACCATTAATCATACCATTCTAATCATGCTGCTTCACCCTCTAATTTCTAAATAAATCACACTTTATGTCATACTATTCCACTCCTCTATTTTCTCATTCCTATCTTCTTTTTTCTTCCTCTAAACCTAACTTCTTTCTCACTACAGGTGTATTTTTTTTTTATGGCAAATGTAACGTTCAAAGTTTTATATTTAGGGTAATGAAAAACTAAGTTTATTATTATCAATTGTTGGTATAAGTTTAGCGAATGAAAGATTGGAATAAATATAATATTTAAAAATAGTTATTATAAAAAAAAATACAAACTTATTTGCAAGACTGAAACCATATTTAAACTAATATTAAACAACTTTATAATGATATTTGGAGCACTAGAGAAAATAAAGCATTATATCATGAAATGATTAGTGATAAAATGTTAATGCAACAATCATTTATACACTGTTATTGGAATAAAATGATCGATTCAGCGGATCGAATCTCAGATTTTTAAAAATTCATTGTTCACCAATGTTCCTATGTTAGTCCTAATTAACATGGGGATAAAATCATTGTCCGAATCTTAGAGGATACAGTCTCCGTCAATCTATTTTTACCTTCTTTCTGAAGTCTTTATCAATGTTGAACATAATTATCAATGTACAATTTTCATTCGAGCTAAAGGACAATTATTGTCTCTACTATAATCTAAATTGGATTGAATTTAATTTAGTTGTCTACAAGGGATTTGGTGCATGGTAAGGAAAACGTACTTCTAAGAATTCACCAAGATTCGAAAACCCTAGAGCATAATTAGATAAAATTCATTCAGTAAAATGTGTATTTTTTTTTCTCAAAAATTACGTTTTTTTGGATGATAAAGCAAACCCAATCTTTCTATCTTTAGACTGACCATAGTACTGCAATTTAGTATCAGTTTGATTTAACGTAATTAAATGCGTTTTTTTTTTAAAAGGAACTTTTTTATATCGTAAAATAGATGGAACCTTAACCTGTCTTAAAGCTAATAATTTGAAAATAAATTATATTCATAATGGAATAGCTCTATCCCATGACTACTTTTTAAAATAATTAAAAAAAAATAACACTTGTATCCATTTTTATCCTTAAAAAATAAGTACAAAATTTATAAATCATTCATACACAAATTAAAACATCAATCAATATAATTATCAGTAAATATTCTCATTTTCAATAGTAGCAATTTTTGCGTTAAATAAAAAAGGTTACACTGAATTTTATTATTAACTTATTTTTAGAGTAGAAACATTCAATATAAGTCATATTATTTCAAAGTTAATTTTACAAATACTCACTCAAACTCAATACAATTTATCTACACATAATATAAGTTTCATACTAAGGACGACAATGTAACTTAGAAAGTTATTGCCTCATGGTCTCTCTCATCTCTTCATATTAAAGGGTTAAAACTAGGATGGTGCACTAATGTATCCAAAATTGATAGATGCATTGTACAGAGTACAAACCCTCCAATTCAAATACAATTTTGTAAGATATGCAACGAGCATGTTATATAATTTTATTAAAGAAAATTACGATAAAGATCCATGGTGCTATTCTAAATTGAGTAAAATAAGATCAACAACAATACAGCAAAGAAAAGCAATAATACACATATGAACATCATATGGAAAGAAAAACAGAGATCCCAATCAACTATGCAGACACAGGTATTGAGTTTGATACCTGTGTTAACAGCCATAGGTTGGTCTTATAACGACCCCCCATCATCTTAACCTGCTTCATCCTCAAGTTACACAGGAATTCAAGAGGGTACATTAAAGTGAAAGAGCCAGGATATGACAAAGGCAAAGACCATACATGCTAGCAGGAAATTCAAAAAACGGTGACCCTGCCAGAAATTTCGAGTTTCTGTAGGTGGTGCTGCTCCAGATGTTGGTACCGTGGAAGCATCATTTGCCTCATTCCATTGTTCTGTCATTTGAATTTCAATAGCTCCAGCTACATTGCGTGCAATTGATCCACAGATTTCACATGTTCTGTTAATCAAACAGATCAAATCATTAGTACAATTTACAAGCCTATACAAAAGTATAAGATTAGTGCAGTAAATTTTAGTAGTTTAAATACACAAGCAGAAGTAAACTAACTGCAGGAATCAATAGAAGCTTCATTAATTTCGTGCTAGTCCAAAACTTTATAGATTGAGGCACACCATATTGCCAATCAAATTATTGATCTCGGGCCATACTTTACACAAAACAAATAAAGTCCTAGCCGGGTTTCTGAAATGTTTTTCACCCCGGTTCACTCTAACGAATAACAGCAAAGGATAACTGATTTGCCAAACTGCTGTCACTTCTTAATGTTCTCTCAGCTCAAACACAGATTATCCTCAATATCCCGGAAAATATGGATCAATAATTACACATGGATTATTTGAAAAAAGAAAAGAAGAAAGTTTTATCTATAATTTTCATCTTAATCTCTTTCTGCAGAATAACTAAAATAAACTAGATATCTCAGTTCACACTAATAAATATATAATGTATTATTTAAAAATAAACTAGAGACTGAAGTGTCATAAACTTTCAATCAAACATTACATTGAACTTATATTTTGCAGCAATTTTGATGTTTCTTCCTACGGTTAACAATTAGATTTATGCATTTTTCGGCTTGTCTCTATGATTTCAGAAATTTAACCTAATGCAGACACAAAAAACTCGTATGCTTTAGCCTTTAAAAGTTGTTAAAGTGAAATTGTACAAAGTAGAAACTCAGTGCTTCTACAACCTCAGAGCTCAAAAAGGACGTCAAAACTCAAAGTCGGCAAATCTTTTACGAAAATACTATTTTCAAGGATCCAGTTTGTGCATGACAGTTGGCCACCACCCTACAAACACAACAAAATACCAAACCAATGACCCACTTACGAGACATTGCTTTGCTGTTAGTCTTCCTTCATGAAAATCCATATCCACTCTGGATGTATGAACTTTTAATGCATTCGTGTTTGAGGGACATTTAGCCCATTTGAAATTCAAATTCTTTAACTTATGTTTTAAATGATTTAGAATAAGTTAAAAGATCAAGTAGAAACTTTGTGCGTGTATGATACAATAAACTAACGTAGTCAAAGTAAAGTAAAGAAGATTCTATCTGAATCAGGATTAAATCAAGTTAGACAGGCATCATTTTTATCTCCAATGTGAGTTGTTTCCTGGAATGCTTAAGTGAAGCATTAGTTGCTTGAAACAATATTTTATTGGAGTAACATAAGTGACATGATACGCTTAAAAAATTGTTAATTTTTTCATCAAACAACTTACAAAGATGAATCAAATGAAATAATGAGGAAAGGGAATAGGATAGAGAGTGAGTTCTTTAAAATTTGTTAAGAATAATTTCATTCAAGTAAAATTATGAGTTGTTAAATATGATATGACATAATAAATCTATATTTTATATTTTTTACTATAAGAAACAATTCTTATGAATTGTTCTTGATAAAGATGCCTCAGAATAAGAAATTGGGAGAATGCCACCAATACAAAGAAAGAACTAGACCTGTGAAACATCACTGGCCGTCAAAAACTATCAAGAAAACTGTCTTGATTACCACCAAATGATTTTGATCTCAGATATATTCCCCAAAGCAACCATGCCCTATTTATGTGTAGAAATTTAAAAAGGTTAAACTGTGGTTTAAAGTTAGTAACATTTAGGATCCCTAAAATGAAAGAAGGCGGGCATATTTTCCAGGCTTTCCAGGTCAAAACTACATAGAAAAACAAATAACTAGTAGCAACATTGGTAAATGAAGTATAAACAAAAACAAAAAAATGTCATGTAGGCAAGTTTCATACTTGCAGCAATTTAATTTATTTAGTGTTGGCAAGTAGTGAAAGCCAGTTCGAATCAGACCGGAAACAAGATAATTTGACAATACAATTTTTCAGTATGCACTACACTGTAAAAGCACCTGCGATAAATAGATTTTAGATGATGTACAAATGACAAAGTACTTTTATTTTGAAGGCAACATTTTTTTCTTCTTTATTTAGTTTATTGAAATTCTTTATTAGGAATTCACAGGAAGTACTTTCCAAACATTAATCTGAACTCAACTTAAACTGTTTCTAAATCATATACACCAACTCTTCAGTCTTTCAACTGATTTTCATTCCCAAAATTTTCACTTACTTACTCATCCATAAACCCATAAAACTACGTATATAACTTCTCAAATTATATTTCTCTTGGCACACCCAGCACTTTGACTATCCTTTACGACATTTTTGAATTTGGAAGTTGCTGAAGTCTGTCAACAATAAGTGATTATTACTTCATGAAATTCAGGTGTCAGTTTGTCACAAAAGTCCAACGTGAATGATACACTTGTTTATGATTCTTTTTAAAGAAAGAAAAAAGGAATTACTAATTAACAACGAGGGCCTGATCGATAAACAAAGGGATGACTATACCAACCTACCTTGAGATTAACATTAATTGCCTTACAGCTTTCTTGATTGGGAAACTGCACCTACCTCCATAGATGTACTGTTTTTACAAAAAAAAAAATCACAACACACCAACTTTTATTTATGGACCATACATGCAGTCCCATTAAAAATAACAAAGCATTGAAGGCAAGTTTAGTTTTTCAAAAAATAAAGTTTTCAACAATTCAAATAAATGGGGTTTTAGAGGAAAAGGGAAGGGAGGAAAATTTTGTTATATTTAACAAAACAAAATAAGAAAAAGAAAACAAAAATTCATTGCTCTTTTTTCTCCAAAGCCTCACTCTCAAACATACTTTTGAAATTCAATTTGTTCACAAGCAAAACGACATAGTGGTAGAGAAGCAAATCAAACATTATTGGACAGTCCGACCTGCAAATAGGATATTTTCAGCTCCCCTCCAACATTTTTCTTTTAACCATTTAATCTTTACCTAAACCATTTCGAGAACAATGTGGCCTATTTTAGCTTACACGATGACCTTCTGTGAGCCAAAGAAGAGCCTGCATTATTATCCCAAATCCTCTTCGTATCATAAACATATGCTAAATTGCTAAAAGAGCAAGTAAGCAATAAATAGACAAGTCAAGTCAAAGCATCAGATTTGGGAAAAAATAACCTATCCATGTCTCAATTAAAGCAAGACCACCTGATACCTTCCTTGTCCATAACTACACCCCAAAAGAAAAACACAGTAACTTTAAAATGGTGAGTAGTTAACTACTGACTAGTAAGTAGTGCTGATCAATCTTACAAAATCACAATACTTTGCCAAGAACCAAGCCATTCCAAAGACATAAAACTGTACTTACTTGTTGCCCTTGATCTTGAACCAAGCCTCAGCACACTGCTTGTGAGCAGCAGCCAAATCATCCTTGCAAGAGCATCCCAGCTCGATGGGAGTTCCAGATTCATGGTTGGTCATATCCATGCTGAGATGGCAAATCCTGCAATCCCTCTCCACAATATCCAAATGCACCTTAACTTCAGGGACTGCACCCTCCTCCAGATCCACCTCCACTGAACACTCTGAAACAGAGGATCCTCTCTCCTTCTCACACACTCCCACTATCTCAGTGGCAGGATCATGGGAGGACCTTTGCTCTTCATCCGACCGATCGCCAGCGTCGGAATACCCCTCGCCGGCGGCCGAGCTCCGGTGACAACAGCCATTACTGTCTATGTCAACAACAATAACATGAGACTTGTCCTCAGTAGTGACCAACATTTTGAACACCCAAGTTAAGAATCTTCATGTAATGACTCAGTGAGGCAAAGATCATTAATACCCACAAGTTTTTAATGAGAAAGTTTCAGTCTTTCTGAAGCCCAGCACGAGTTATGTGAATTGTGTGCAAGGTATGTGACCTCTCCCTTCTGAGACCCTGACACAGGAGGACCTTTGAGCGAGATAGAGAGAAATGGATCAGAAGATATGAAACAGGAGGAACAGCATTATATTGTGCAGTGATCTGACGGGAGAAATATGGCAAAAGAATAATAATTCCCTATTTTTTGTTTGTTTGTTTGTGTGTAAAAAAAGAGGGGTCTTGGAAATCTAACAGTGTCTCTCAACTCAAAGACCCAAAGCATACACAGTTTTTAATGTCTTATTATTATTATTATTCTTTGTGTGTCTATCCAATGTCGCTACATAATAACAAGCAAAAGAAACCTTAACAAGAGAGATTGTTGAACACGGGTCACTCACGGTGAAGTGACATGGTGTGATGAGTTGTGAGATAAATGGGGCCCACGTTTCTTTTTCCCTTGTGGAGTCTGGTGAGAAAAGAGGGTGGTTTTTCTACTGTGGGCTGCAAATGATGAGTGCAACAGAGGAGAGAATGCAAGTAAAAGGAAAAGGGAAAGGAAAATGAAAAGAGATGAGAAAGGATTTGAAGAGTGAGGTTATGATTGATAGTAGAGGAGAGGACACCTAAAAAGCTCTTTCTTTTGGCGCTGCCAACAACAGATAAAACTGTGAAAAGCACAAAATTCTTTGTCCTCTTCGCCATTCACCGCTTTCACTTCTCTCTTTCTTTATCTTTTCTTGTCTTTCATGTGTTTTATCATTTTCTTAACTTCAATACAAATGTGAAAACAAAATATTTTTGGTTTTTATATTTTTTTAAGAGATGTGAAAATTTCTATGCTTTCGTATAAATGAATTTAATATTCAAATAAAAAAATTAGTCTAGTTTTTCTCATAATTCCTTATTTTTTTTAAAAATATAAGAACCAATTTATTAATATAAAAAATACAAAAATCTTAACTATGTTTAATAAAAATAGAACGATCATTTTTTTTTCTATGAATATAGCATAAATGTATGGATATAAATCAAGATAGGTTAAATAGATAGAGCACACATCACAAACCATGTAAAAGTTAAACAAAATATATATTTCGGGTCTTTTTATATTATTTGTATAATTTTTGTAATATTATTTTTAAATATATGTATAATTTATGTAAATATTGATTTTTGGGCAGATTTATATGCATTTATTTAAATTTAATTTCGGTATATTTCGATCTATTATTTATATATAACTTATACATTTTTATTATATTTAATTTTGGTATATTTTTATGTATTATTTATATATAAAATACTCATTCCAGGTCAACTAGGTTACGGAATGACTTATTTTTTATGAGTACGAGACAATTTATTTTATCGTCAAAGATCTATATTTAGTAAATTGACAATGATGACTCAACTGCTTTAAAATAATCAACGAAATAAAAAAATATAATTTAAATAAAGTGTACAACATATTAATTCTTAATAATAACTCAAAATAAATAAATAAATAACCATTTCAAATTTGTTTTAAAAAATAAATGTGCAACATGATGTATGTGTGAGACATAGATTAGTTATTCCTAACGGATTAATGCTGAGTTTACGTAACTTAATGTTGCTTCATTTAAATTCCTAATCTTTATTATTTCAGTTGTACTTCATTTATTTAAATCATATTACTTTTTTTAAACTAATAGTTATTTTCAAATATGAATATTTAATATAAAACTAAATATAAATGTAGAAGTTATATAAAACATGAGTCCTGTTTTCCCCGTAATGATAGGAGTTGTCTTTTCTACGTTGATATGAGTTTGTTTTTAATCTGCTGCAATATTATTTAGATTCATTTATGCAATACTGTACTATTTTATTGTAAAATTCACTTAGTATACATGATTATAGTGGCTTACGGTTAAAGTGACAGAACCAAACACATGTGATAATATTCGGTGATAAAGATATTTGATATGCCATGTTGAATATAAAAATATCTGTAGCTACAGATTCTGTAAGAAATTTAATAGAAGGACATCTGTTAAATAAACAAATAAAAATCCGAGAAATTGACTAAAAATATTGGTTAAAAAATTTGTGCATGAAAATGTGAAAATGATCTATAAACATAATATAAATAATAAAATAATGATAATAAATTGAAAGATGGAAATGATAGAGGAGGAAAATACGAAGCAAGCCCATATTCCAAGACATAGATTTTAGCATTCATTGTCTCTTTGCATTATGAGACAGAACTGATAATCTCACCAGAAAAAGGAAAAGGAGAAACTCAATGCATCAAGCAAAGGTCTTGATGGCTACATCAACCTTACATTTTCACTTACTTTCTCACCAAACCCTACAAAATCACCCCACACATGTTCACCATAATTTTTCTGCATTGGAGGGACTTTACCATTCTTTTTAAGATAGTGTTTCGTATGAAATTTTCAAATTTTTAATGGTTGAATTTCATTACATATAACAAATGTCAACACAAAATAACTCTGATTAATGATAAATCGTTTTAATAATGTTAACCGAAAAATAATGGATATTACCTATATTAGTTGTAAAATATTTTCTTTTTTCATATATATATATATATATATATATATATATATATATATATATATCGATAAAAAAAATCACCACTAACATGGTTGAAAAATAATCCTTTCAATATTGGTAAAAAAAATATTAATATTGGTCAAGAAATAATGTTTGACCTACAATTTTTCTATTGACATTAAAACATTTTTAAAGGAAATTATTAAATAAGATAAAAATAAATATTTTTTATAGACTTTATAAATACATTATTTAAAAATTAATCAAAATTATTTATATAAATATTTTAAATAGTATTTTTTAATTTAAAAAAATTAATATATAAAATTTATAATAATTCTTTTATTTATAAACAACTGTTACTAGTAACACTTTTTAATGATATTCTTAGTAAAAAAAAAGGTTACATCAGCTAAAATGTTTAGAAAAAAAAAAAGTTGTGTTTGATGTTAGTTTAAAATGTTATTAGTAATATCTCAATCAAACCTAAATTCAATCTACTTAAATGAAATGAAGGAAAAAAGAAAATAGGAAAGAAGAACATAAATTTGACAAAAAAAATATAGAAAATTATATTTTTTATATAGAATTTAAAATTCTCTAATTTACTTCCATAAATTTTTATAATTCTCTATAAAAGATATTTTGTCATAATTTTTCCAAATAAAATAATTATTTAATAAATTTCTTATACAAATAGAATATAAGAGTTTCTTTTATTCTTAAAAGAAAAAATAAATAAAGCAAAGACTTATCCATTATGTTTACAGTGTATTGTGTATGTTTATGTGACATAATACAATGCAAATAACAGTAAATTTAATCAACATATCTAAAAACAATTTCAATAAGTTTATGTTGATGGTAGAAACTTTTCTCTACGTATTGTATATTAGAAACAAGTTTTCATTAAATTTTGAAGACGAGGCTCAAGTCGTCACACGAAGTCCAACAAGCTTCGCTGCTTCAGTGCGCAAATAGAGAGCTGAATGAGGTTCATAGGAAAAGGTGAGAAAAGTAATGGTGGGGAATATTTAATTGAAATGTGGTAGTTAAAATAGTAATAAGAGGTTTCAATAGTTGGGCCCTCTTACTTATAGGCCTTTTATGAGCCCATTAACGTGGCAGCTAAGCCTTGTCATTGACCCATAACAGCCCAAACATATTTAAATGCATCCTGTCACGTAGTACAGGTGCAGATGGCTGTAATGTTTCGTAAACTTTCTCTCTCTCTTTTTTTTTTTATTTTTTTAAAAAGCGGCATTTAATGAGTGATAAATGAATACAATAAAACCCTAGTAAATTTCTCCAGAAAATCATAGAAAAAAGAGAGTAATAACAACAGAATTTATTCATTTTGGCTTGGTGAGGGTAGTGAAACCAACCATTTCTTTAAAATGGTAAGATCCGAAAATGATGGTTGGAAGAAGAGGGTGAGAAATTGCAGTAGGAAAGAATGAGAAGAAATTGAGGAAAGAGGGGCCACTATACCTACCAACACTTAACGCCATTCTTCGTAATTTTATTTCTTTTTCCTCAACAAAAAATTTAATATTTATATTTACACACATTTTAATTGTCTTCTTCGTAAAGCTTGTGTAGTCCAAATGGGGGACATGGGAACTACATATTCACACTGTAGACAATTTGTACACTCTTTTGTCCTAAAATTCGACTTCACCTAGGTCCCCATTTCGTCTGCAATTTCATTTCAACGTCATTTCCGTTAATATTTTAAATTCTATTTTACAAATATCATCACAAAACCACGCACATATTCTTGCTTCTATATTTCAATCACAATTGTTCAGCCATTGCTCCATGATTAAATTATTCACGCAAATGTTATGCCCCATGAAACTTAATGAGATCATAAATTTTAATTATAGTGGGAAACTGAAAATGTTATTACCACACACTCGTTATAATTTTTAAACCATTGAAAAAAGATTTTATTTCTTGTTAATAATTTTATTTATTAATAATATTATTATTTGGCTATTTGTTATTATAATTTAAAAACAAACAAAATAATAACATACAGTGATAATAAAATAGCACCTATTGTTTTCCTCATTTAGCGACATAAATATAATCCATTATATTGCATTTATAGGCATATTCTCATATTTTTTGAGGAAGTTCAACTTCTCTCTCCTTCTCCTTCTTTTCTTTATTTATTTTATCTTTTTACACATCCACTCGTCTAAACCACCTCCTCCTACATTCATCATTCATTATTTTACCTTTTTACACATCCACTCGTCCAAACCACTCATAAATGAAAAAAAAGGCATTACCATGCAGAAAAGTCAAAATGGAGAAGACAAGAAGGACATTCCTAAGA